AGGTTTTTAAAAAAGTGACTCGGCATTGTATATTTGTAATTATTTGTTAACTGTATATTATTAATTTCTTGGTGTGATTGGAATAAATAATTTGAATAGTGTAGAACTGTTTTACTTTTTAATATTTCAWWTGTCTTTTTTCGATTTGACGCTATTTTTTTTCCCCTAATTTTTTATTAAATTTTTCGGAAACGTAATTTGTTGCAATATTTTTAATTGTATCAGGATTTGCCTCAATAATTTCATTTTCCAGATTGTTTACTTGTATGTACTCAACAACTTTATGAATGTCGGTAGGTATATCTCGATAGAACCTATAATTAATTATTGTATAAGTTGTCTTTTGTGTGATTTTATAATTGTATAAGTGTCTTTTGTGTAATTATATTATTGTGTAAGTAAAATTGTTACATACATTACATTGGGAATTTGCAAAGAATTGTATGGCGCCCACGTTATCGATCAAAAATGCATTCAGTTCTTCTGAATTAATATGTGCCCCATAGCTGCATATATAATTCAATAAACATTCACTTGTAGTTGCCCCTCCTACACTGAATCTTTGTATTGCGGATGCAACCATCATTACTAAATCCTTTTAAAATAAAATTGATTTTATATAAATAAATGAATAATTATAATATAATTATAGACAGCATTTGCAAAATTGCCATTTTTTTAATGTAAGAATTTAATGCAATGTTTACTTCTCGACGGCGTACTCTAATTGATGGGCAATGATCGGTACAATGATCATTAAAAATATGAAAGAGTAATGTAAATTCATATATAAATTTTTGAATACAGAATGGGCAACGTATCGTCAGCCAATGTGCATACAAGTCTTCTGTATATTGTTCTTCATATTCTTTTTGTCCAATATTCGATTGGTCTATAACTAAAAATATAATAAATATGTATTTCGAAGCTGAAATTAAATTGAAAAGTAGTGGTCGCTAAACTTGGTATTTTACTGTAGTAATCCTGGACAAAGTATTATTTTCTGGACAACTCGCCCCCACCACAACTTTATGCAAATTGAAAGTATCCAAAATGCATCCCCAGCATATTAGAGACCCTAACAAATCCAGTGATATGCTTGTTGGTAGGAGGAATAGCATCCCAATGATTTTGCCATCTAGAATATACGCGGATAAAAATAACCATCCACACTACAGCTATAAAAATTACGTGCTTGGAAAGAGGAGGTATTTTTATATAATTTTGCAAAGCTATGTTTTAGCATACAGTTGCCGCATGATGCCAGCAATTYGGTCTCTCAGCGGTAATCATCTCCTCAACGCTAACCAGTTCAAATGTTATCCCTAAAAACGTATTCACAGGATAGCAGACTACCTACACTTTACAGGGACGTATTTTTTTATAGCTGTAGGGGTTATGGTTATTTTTTAAGAATGTTCCAAAATTTTGATATA